ATTAAATGTTTTTAGATACAGAAACATTTTATAAGAAGAAAACAAAAATGAGTTCTTTTCCTACTACTCAACTACATTTTATATTTAGGAAAGCATTGATATAGTATGGCTTCTCTAAAAAGAAGGCTGTCTTTCCTCTTGCTAACATGCTCATTCTTCTATGTGTAACTATATATTTTTCCCCAAATTATGTGTATTTCAATATAAGTGTTTAAGATATATGTGCAATGTATTTATAGAAGAGATTATTTAATACAGTGTTTTCCACACATTGCTTCTCTCATTTTTTTTGAAAATTTTCCATCTTAGCATCTACCCATCTCATTTCCAGTTTTAAAAATGAGCTTCATGCTTTCTTTTTGTTATTTAACCAATTTCTCTACTGATAGAACTGAAGCAAAAATTTAAAAAATAATCCGTTGAAAATCTTAAGTCTCAGATTATTGTAACTACTAAATTTCTTTAAATAAAAACAATTTTGACATTAAATATGAATAATTTTTATTGTCTAGATTGTTACTATCAATTTTTTTAAACTGCATTGAAATATTGTTTATCTCAATTACTAGGTTTTTTTTTTGGGGGGTACCGGGGATTGAACTCAGGCCCTTGTGCTTGCCAGGCAAGCGCTTTTTCTACTGAGCCATCTCCGCGGTCCCTGTTACTATCAATGTTAATCAGTGTGTCCAGAAAGTTAATTCATGTAACATACAGTGGTGCCTTTGTTCATGAACTCAATTCTTTCCATGATTCTGATAGCAAATCAAACTGGAGCAGACCAGAATCAAATTTTTCCTTAAGGTCAACATGAAACCTAACCATTGATTGGTTCAGTTCTCATCCAATTTGGTTTGTAAACAGAATCATGGAAGGAATCGTTTGCAACGGAGGTATCTGCGTAGGCATAATCTGCCTTTTAAGAGTTCAATAAGAAGTAACTTTGTTTCCAAGTTAATAAATAAATAGTGATTTGCTTCAAACTATACTGGCACAACTAGAAAATAAATAAATGAAGCACTTTCAGAGAATAATAAATTACTAAAAAATATCCTCAAACTACTAAAAAATATTTCCTGAAAATGTACACATCACAATCAGTGACTCGCAGGTGCCATAAACACTAAGCAAGTGAGCTACATTATGAAGCTGAGTGTGTGCTTTTTCACTGTTAGAGTAGTCTCATTCAGTATGCTATCAAATGTTGTAATTCCTATTTATGTACAGGGACAAAAACATTGGGAAGCTTGTTACACAGACAAAAGAGCTACGAGAATGAAGTGGGGAGTGTGAATATCCTATCTCGGGGACTGAGAACAATATTTGAGGTCTCCAGATAGAAGACAGGAAAAAGAATCTAGTTTTGCCTTTTGTGATTTTAATATTTACTAGATATCTGAGTTTACCATTTTGTTTCAGTCTTAAACACTGCAGTGGCAGAAATTTCTAGAATGAGAGAGGATTCTTATTTCTGAATTTAGAGAGA